CAGGCCCCTGCCTGAGAAACATGCTGGACTGCTGGCTGGGAGTCTCACAGATAAGTCTCCTGCCAAAGCCTGCCTCTGGCACCCTATCCCCTCCCTCTCCCTAGCCCTCTTCCCCATGACTCTTTACCCCATGACCCCACATAAGCCTAACCCTCGGCCCCCCTCCTGAGCCCATACCCTCTCCTAGACCCTGCACCCCAATCTCTGGCCCCAGATCACAATTCCCTTCTGCCATAGGTGATAACCCAAACTCCTGCACTCCCTCCTGCACCCTAGTCTCAACCTAAACCCCCTGCACCCTGATCCCTTGCCCTAGGTCATAACCCAAACCCCTGCACCCCAACCCCTGCCGTAGGTCACAACTGCCTCCTTCACTGAAACTCCCTCCTGCACCCGAATTCCTCACCCCAAGCTCCCCTCTTCACTCAACCTCCATCCCAGACAGGGGCAGCCCGTGAGCCTAAGAAAACTAGGCAGTTGCCTAGGGTGCCGCTGGCCTGGGTGCCCGATGATGACATTATGGCCATGCAGGCGGGGGCGCTGATCATGCCTCTGCCTAGGGCGCCTCAGACCACTCCTGATCCCAGACTCTGCATCTCCTCCATTAATATCATGGAAAAGTGTGGCCCTGAACCACTTTGCAAAATCTTGGAGTGCCCCCTACCCCCATCAGAAATGATTGCCTACACAGTGATTATCAACTTTGTTCTTGATGAGGCATGTATGTGGGTTTTTAGTGGCTTACATTCTGTCTAGCGAAGACCAGTAGTAGTCTATAAATAACTGGTCCCCCCTCAAAAGTGAGAATGGAACCATTCTCCTCCTAACAGCATGTCCTGCTGACTGATAGGTATGTCTACAGAGTATTGCAGGCTTTTTTGAAAGTCTCCTACATCAGCCTTCCCAGCTAATAGTTGGTTTGTGGGGTAACAGGCATGTATGAGAATCCTACCAAGTTTCCCAAATAAACTATAATGCTGCTTGCTGAACCAGTTACAAAGTGTAGGCAGATATCTCAACAGCCTGCTCTAGCATATTTTTATCCTGTAGAAACTGAATAAACTGCTAACGTGTCTTTCCTTAGAATAAGTATGCAGCATGTAACCTTGATGTCTGGACTGCTCCATGAGAACTCATGCAAAGTGTCAGTGAAGTTAGGCTTTCAATTGTTGAAACAGAAAATATACGCTTTCAGGATATTTGCAATCTCCCTTTAAAATATGTTACAGAACTAAACATCTAACAGTGACTCAGACATCTAACTGGAACTTACATTTCTTCTGAGTTGATACCTGTATTGGGGATGCAAAATCCCATTTAATCAGCTAACAGATCAGGTTTATGGATAAACGTTATGTTTATGGTTAAACGTTATGTTTAACCAGTTAATCACTTAAACAGGGACAGGTGTGGGGGCTGGAGCACCTCCCCCCACTCCCTATGCCACAGGCTGCTCTGATTGGGCTGGAGTGTCGCTGCCTGTGGTGGGTGTAGGGCTGCTCCACCCGCTTATGGTTAACAATAACTGGTAAGCATCACATCCCTAATCTCTGTGTGTTTCTCTGAACAGCATTTCCAAGGTTTTGACAATTTTTTAAAGTTGATGTTTTTCTCTAAGCTTTAATTACTAATTCATAGTAACCTCTGTTAAGGAGAGAACATTGTGAAAGGAGAGAGAGAATCTATCAGAAATCTGTTAGAAATATTTGATGGCCTGCTCGAATATCTTACTGAAGAAATCAGTGAAGCTTCTTCTCAGAAGGGGGGTGAGTAAAGAGACAGGTAGCTAATGAAAGTATCTCAGTTCAAGATATTAAATGCTACTGCTTATTATTATAGTGGACTTTTTCTTATCCTACCTGTGTACCTCCAGTGTAACTATTAAACTACCATATTGGGAAATAAATTCTGCCTTACAAAGAACTGTGTGTGTATGTATATATATACACACAGTTCTTTGTATGTCTGTGGGTGGAATATGGCTCCTAACACTGCTTATTCCTTTGCTCTCCCCCTCATGAGCAGCTTTTTTTTTTTTCAGGAAGTCCATAAACATTTAGTATCATATATGGAAAACAGACTTTGTAAAACCTTGTTTTTACAAATATCTAAGATGAATTGAAGGGTTTGCAATTAAACAGGCTTTTGCAGTTTTCAGAGAGGTAGCCATGTTAGCCTGTTTCAGCAAAAGCAACAAGGAATCCGTTGGCTCCTTAAGGTCTAACAATTTTATTATGGCATAAGCTTTAGTGAGCTCTGCAGTTATACACTCTAGGTAAACCACCTCTGTGAGAAGTGTAGAGCTTGCTATGCTCAGGATAGTGCAATGGGGTCCCAATGTGGACACTGTGGTGTAGTACTGTGTCCTAACTGACCTCTGGCACCCTTCCCACAATGCCTGTCTCATCTATTTGAATTCTAGGGTGTGTCTAAACTACATGGCTCTGTTGATGGAGCCATGTAGATTAGGCTGATCGGCAGAGGGAAATGAAACCGTGATTTAAATAATCTGTGCCTGAGTAAAGCTTTCACCCTTCCCTTGACAAATATTACAGAGGGTACAACACGTGGTGATAATCACAGGGATGTTATTGACCAAGTCCAGCTTCCCATACAAAATTCATCAGCAGGCCTTTAAACAGCCAGAAGCGTACACTACCTGCACCTGCTCAGCCTGTTATTGAACCGATCCTTGCCGATGTCAAGGCTCCCATGTATGGTAAAGCTTTCACCCTTCCCTTGACAAATATTACAGAGGGTACAACACGTGGTGATAATCACAGGGATGTTATTGACCAAGTCCAGCTTCCCATACAAAATTCATCAGCAGGCCTTTAAACAGCCAGAAGCGTACACTACCTGCACCTGCTCAGCCTGTTATTGAACCGATCCTTGCCGATGTCAAGGCTCCCATGTATGGTTTAATGAGCCATGGCATTAAGAGATAGGCAGTGTCTCCAAGGTTCAAAGTGGGCATTTCCACTTTACTCCCAGCGATCTTTTGATCCAGGAAGAAAGTGCCTGCTTGCAGTTTCCTGAACAGGCCAGTGTTCCAAAAGATGTATGTGTCATACGCCTTTCCAGACCAGCCTGTGTTAATGTCAGTGTAAAGCCTTTGGTGATCCACAAGTGTCTGCAGAACCAAGGAGAAATACCCCTTGTAGTTAATGTACTCAGAGGCTAGGTGGTCTGGTGCCAGAATTGGAACATGTGTTCCATCTGTTACTCCACCACAATTTGGTAAGCCCATCCGTGCAAAGCCATCCACAATTTTTCACACATTGTCCAGAGTCGTGGTCTTTCGGAGCAGGATGAAATTGATGGCCCTGCACGCTTCCATCAGCGTCAGTACAGTGGTTGACTTTCCCACTCTGAAATGATTGGCAACCAAGCAAAAGCTGTCTGGAGTAGCCAGCTTCCACAGTGTGATTGCCAAGTGCTTCTCCACTAGCAGGGCAGCTCTCATTCCCATGTCCTTGCACCACATGGTGGTGGTGAACTCCTATGAAAGTGGCTTTCCTCATCCGAAACGTCTGCAGTCACTGCTCAACATCCCAGGCTTGTGTTAGGGATGTGATCCCCCCATTCAGTGCTTGTTTCTTGAGCCCAAAAGTGGTATTCCACTGGGGTCAGCACTTCCAAGAATGCTACAAGAAATCTTGTGTCATATGAATGCTGCTCAGGCTCCTCATCGTCACTTTTCAGCTTCAGGAATAATTCCACTGCCATTCATGATGTGTTCAGTAAGACCTATCAGCATTTTTGTGAACAGCTCTGGAGCCATTCCCACACACTGAGGAGGCAGAGCGTGCAGCACAGAAGCCATTAAAGATGGCGCTAAATGTGGATGGAAGCACAGAGATTGCTGGGATGTGAAGTGATGCACCACAGAGTCTTGGGACAGGACCCAAGGTACTCTATGGGATAGCTGCCCAGAATGCACCATTCCAAAAGACACTGGAAGTGTGGTCATGCTGATGCACTGGTGGCTTACAGAGTGGACACTCAATAGTGAAGAGGTGGGCAAAATATGGCCAGCCTTTGGGTGTAGTGGGAGCTTCAGGCCATCTCCCTGCTTATTCTGTCCCCGCATGTTGTTCACAGTAGCTCTCTGAACACTGCAAACCCAGGGGAAGGTGTGTGTGTGTGGCGGGGGGAAGAGGTTTTGTGTGGTGCTTCTATTCCCAGCATAATCTTGCAGCTCCCATTGGTCTGTTTCTGGCCAATGGTATCTACTTAAGAACATAAGAACGGCCATACTAGGTTAGACCAAAGGTCCATCTAGCCCAGTATCCTGTCTGTCGACAGTGGCCAATACCAGATGCTCCAGAGGGAGGGAACACAACAGAGAGAAACAGAGGCTGGGGACACCATTCCTACCCATCCTGGCTAATAGCCATTGACGGACCTAACCTCCATGAATCCATCTAGCTCTTTTTTTAATCCTGTTAAAATCCTAGCCTTCATCATATCCTCTGGCAAGCAGTTCTACACGTTGAATGTGCGCTGAGTGAAAAAAACCTTCCTTTTGTTTGTTTTAAACCTGCTTCCTTTTAATTTCATTTGGTTGATCCCTAATTCTTATATTGGGGGAATAAGTAAATAACTTTTCCTTATTCACTTTTTCCACACCAGTCGTGATTTTATAGACCTCTATCATATCCCCCTTAGCCTCCTCTTTTCTAAGATGAAAAGTCCAAGCCTTTTTAATCTCTCTTCATATGGGACCCGTTCCAAACCCCTAATCATTTTTGTTGCCCTTTTCTGAATCTTTTCCAATGCCAATATATCTTTTTGAGATGAGGTGACCACATCTGTACACAGTATTCAAGATGTGGGGCATACCATGGTTTTATATAGAGGCAATAAGATATTCTCTGTCTTCTTCTCTATCCCTTTTTCAATGATTCTAACATTCTATTTGCTTTTTTTGACTGCCGATGCACACTGAGTGGATGTTTTCAGAGAACTATCCACAATGATTCCAAGATCTTTCTCTTGAGTAGTTGTAGCTGAATTAGTCATCATATGGTATGCATAGTTGGGATTATTTTTTCCAATGTGCATTACAGGCAGTCCCCGAGTTACGCGGATCCGACTTATGTCGGATCCGCAGTTACGAACAGGGATTTTCTCGCCCCGGAGGACTGGAGCGGCGGGATGCCCAGATGCGCTGCAGTCCCGCCGCCCCCGTCCTCTGGGGCGAGAAAAGCTGCTCCACGTCTCCCTGGTCTGCTGGGGGAGGGAGCCAGCATACCTGTGGTATGTGGGTGTGTTTTTCTTTGCAATTAACAAAGCAATTTTGATTGTAAACAGAGGAACCTGACCAGCGAGCTAACAATGATATTCAAAGTGCACTTCAAGAGCAGCAGGAAGGTGACTTTGAGGAAACTGTGCCACTTCTGAAACTCTCATCAGTTGCAGAGTAAGACTGGTTCTGAATGTTCTAAAATTGTTGTGTGCTCCTCTAAGAGCCCTGGTCTCGGGCTGTTCAAACTCGGCTTTCTGGCATTATGCCTCAGCGGTCCAGCCCTGAGTAAAGCTTTCACCCTTCCCTTGACAAATATTACAGAGGGTACAACACGTGGTGATAATCACAGGGATGTTATTGACCAAGTCCAGCTTCCCATACAAAATTCATCAGCAGGCCTTTAAACAGCCAGAAGCGTACACTACCTGCACCTGCTCAGCCTGTTATTGAACCGATCCTTGCCGATGTCAAGGCTCCCATGTATGGTTTAATGAGCCATGGCATTAAGAGATAGGCAGTGTCTCCAAGGTTCAAAGTGGGCATTTCCACTTTACTCCCAGCGATCTTTTGATCCAGGAAGAAAGTGCCTGCTTGCAGTTTCCTGAACAGGCCAGTGTTCCAAAAGATGTATGTGTCATACGCCTTTCCAGACCAGCCTGTGTTAATGTCAGTGTAAAGCCTTTGGTGATCCACAAGTGTCTGCAGAACCAAGGAGAAATACCCCTTGTAGTTAATGTACTCAGAGGCTAGGTGGTCTGGTGCCAGAATTGGAACATGTGTTCCATCTGTTACTCCACCACAATTTGGTAAGCCCATCCGTGCAAAGCCATCCACAATTTTTCACACATTGTCCAGAGTCGTGGTCTTTCGGAGCAGGATGAAATTGATGGCCCTGCACGCTTCCATCAGCGTCAGTACAGTGGTTGACTTTCCCACTCTGAAATGATTGGCAACCAAGCAAAAGCTGTCTGGAGTAGCCAGCTTCCACAGTGTGATTGCCAAGTGCTTCTCCACTAGCAGGGCAGCTCTCATTCCCATGTCCTTGCACCACATGGTGGTGGTGAACTCCTATGAAAGTGGCTTTCCTCATCCGAAACGTCTGCAGTCACTGCTCAACATCCCAGGCTTGTGTTAGGGATGTGATCCCCCCATTCAGTGCTTGTTTCTTGAGCCCAAAAGTGGTATTCCACTGGGGTCAGCACTTCCAAGAATGCTACAAGAAATCTTGTGTCATATGAATGCTGCTCAGGCTCCTCATCGTCACTTTTCAGCTTCAGGAATAATTCCACTGCCATTCATGATGTGTTCAGTAAGACCTATCAGCATTTTTGTGAACAGCTCTGGAGCCATTCCCACACACTGAGGAGGCAGAGCGTGCAGCACAGAAGCCATTAAAGATGGCGCTAAATGTGGATGGAAGCACAGGGATTGCTGGGATGTGAAGTGATGCACCACAGAGTCTTGGGACAGGACCCAAGGTACTCTATGGGATAGCTGCCCAGAATGCACCATTCCAAAAGACACTGGAAGTGTGGTCATGCTGATGCACTGGTGGCTTACAGAGTGGACACTCAATAGTGAAGAGGTGGGCAAAATATGGCCAGCCTTTGGGTGTAGTGGGAGCTTCAGGCCATCTCCCTGCTTATTCTGTCCCCGCATGTTGTTCACAGTAGCTCTCTGAACACTGCAAACCCAGGGGAAGGTGTGTGTGTGTGGCGGGGGGAAGAGGTTTTGTGTGGTGCTTCTATTCCCAGCATAATCTTGCAGCTCCCATTGGTCTGTTTCTGGCCAATGGTATTGTATAAAGTGTATGTACGTATAACACCATGACTGATCACCACATAGAAAAAAGTTATGCAAGGAAGATGGAAAGAGCCATTACTCACTATACCAGGATACCCTAGGGCTAAAGACAAGCCTTGGATTAGAGCAGTGGTTCTCAAAGTGTGGTCCATCTTGCTGGTGGGCTGCAGGCTCATGCTACCCTCACGCTACAATAGTGAGCCTGTAGGGTCACGATGCTAGAGGGCCAACACTGGCTTACTGCTGTGGGGAGCGGAGCCCCGAGCCTCATAAGCCGACCCAGATTGCAGGGGAAGGAAGCAGCTCCACACGCTGCTGCTATCCCTCCCCAGCCAGCCACCCATTTGGTCATCCTGGATGGTTGGCGGGTGCTCCATGAAAAGGTCTGCATTGAGTGCAGTGGACCATGGGCCAAAAAGGTGGAGAACCACTGGATTAGAGGTGCATGCTACATTATATTGCATATTTGCTTTTAAAAAAGTCTGAAGAATATTGTCCTTTTAAAAAACACTTCTCTAATAATAGAAATTTTTTGTTCCATTTGTTTTTAAAAAACTGTTCATGTTAATGTCACAGGAAAGATTTTTCCTCACATAAGTGATTTTATGCACAGCTGTCTCAGCATGAAGGTATTTCATGCTGGACTTCTAAAGCAGAGAAGAAAAATAGAAAGTTTCAAATGAACAGTAATTCAGTATGCGCTGATTGCATGATTAAACTTGACAATCTCTCTCAGCAGTTATTCTTGCTTTTTCCTGGCTTGTTGAACTAAGCTGGAAAAGGAACAGAGAAGGGCAACAAAAATCAATAGGATCACACAACAGCTTTCAGAAGAGCAGACATTAAAAGATTGAGACTACAGGCAATCCCCGAATTACGCGGATCCGACTCATGTCGGATCTGCAGTTACGAACGGGGCTTTTCTCACCCCGGAGGACTGGAGCGGCGGGATGCCCAGATGCGCTGCAGTCCCGCCGCCCCCGTCCTCTGGGGCGAGAAAAGCTGCTCCACGTCTCCCTGGTCTGCTGGGGGAGGGAGCCAGCATACCTGTGGTATGTGGGTGTGTTTTTCTTTGCAATTAACAAAGCAATTTTGATTGTAAACAGAGGAACCTGACCAGCGAGCTAACAATGATATTCAAAGTGCACTTCAAGAGCAGCAGGAAGGTGACTTTGAGGAAACTGTGCCACTTCTGAAACTCTCATCAGTTGCAGAGTAAGACTGGTTCTGAATGTTCTAAAATTGTTGGCACAGTGACTATATTTTTACATAGTGTCTAGCATGTTCATACTATGCAAGAAAAAAGATTACTGGGTACAAGCATCAAATAGAATGCTTGGTAGTCTTTGGGCAGCAAGAGATCTAAAATTAGGATCAAGTACATGTTTGCATTGCAAACCCTAAGACATCTTGCAATTTTTTTGAATCAGCACAGTAATGAGTTATGTTCCAAACTTCCATTGTTGTCACAGTGCATATTTTTTTTATATAAATCACTGAAGTTTAGTTAAATCAATTATATTACATTATTTGCCTTTTTTAATTAGCTTACTCTGTGAAAACTGATCATACTCTTAAAAGTAAAGGCCAGCAGAGTTAGGATTATTCTACAGCTCCATCTTGTGGCTTAGGAAAGCATAGACTATTATTGCTAATAGATCTACTGCATTGTGTTTCCCTTAGGTCTTCCCAGTCAGATATTTTTGTCCCGTCTTGGGAGGTAGAAGGATCAGAATCAACTAGTGAGTTAATCAGGCTTGGCGACACTGCTCATTCATTTTCACTAAGAAAGGAAGGTGAGTTTTAAACGTACCTTTAAGACTGTTCTGTATGGACATGGACTCTTCTAGGCATGGGACATGTACTGGCAAAAGTGCTTAGTATTTTTAAATGTATGAAGGGACTGGGAAGCATGCTTGTAAAGCAAAAAGCATATAGCACTTCTTTGTTAGGAAGATCCTTTAAATGCTTCAGCTTATATATGTTTAGCACAACTGAGATGAAGCCACCTCTGGGGCAGATAGGGAAAGTCACCTGGCATAAAGTACACTCTCTCACTGTAGATCAGAGTAAACTTAGGTGAAGATAATAGGACCAGTCTTTACTCTTACAAGTAACAGCAGTGGATTTTGAATGCTTTCCAGTAGCACATGAACACTTTCATGGTTCTTATTTCATAGACCCACAAACAGAACTGCATGGTACCCACAGTATTTATGTCAAGAAAAGATGATTTGACTGAGATGGAAACATCTGTTTCCTTAGAGTTTAGGGTTTCAAACTTGATTTAGAGTTGACCATTATCTAGCCCTTCTGGTTGAAGGTTTGTTTTTTTATCTAAAAAGAGGACTATATAGCAGAACAGTGTGAATTAGGTCCAGAATGGGAGATAATGAAAGCATAACTGGATAGCATCAGACGATCACAGTATGAAAGTCAAACTGATATAACAGTATTGCTTCAAGACACATTATGTATGCCTAGCAATTAATTTTTTTAAGCTTCCCTCAAGCAAACAGGTGGTAGGAGTCAGGGCAATTCAGAAATATTCTATGAGGACTGGATGGCTTAGGTAACTGCTAATAGGAGCCGCTTGAATTGGATTCATTCTGAACACCACTAGCATTTTTGTTGATACAGGTTGGACCTCCCCAGTCCAGTACTTTCAAAATCTGACCATTCCCGAATGAGGGGAAGGTCCCTTGTCACCGGTCCCCCTGCCTCCAGCTAGCTGTGCCACTGCCAGACAGTCCCCTGCCATGGGGCTCTGGTACAGGTCAGACCACAGATGTTGCCAGATGAGAGAGTCCAGTGTAGGGAGGTACAAACTGCAACTTCCTTTACAAAGTGAAGTACTGAATGGGTACAGAGGGTTATTATCTTGCCCCTGCAGCAGCAGCTGAGCAAATCTGTAAGTAAAACTTCTGTAGCATACTGTGATAAGTAACATTTCTATATGTGCTATAGTTTCCATCTGCAGAATTCTCCCTGGAGCAGTGCAGAGCATTAACTTCAACTAATTCAGTCCAATATGAACACTGTCTAAACATAGAGCCAATAATAAAAATGCATTTAATTATTTAAACATAAATGTAACCTACTTTCAAACATCACTTTCAGAGTTCCAGCTCCCTGAATTGTTGCCAGCAGAGAGAGAGAGGTCTAAGGAGATTAAGGAACCTGAAGACACTGAGTCTAATGTGGCACCTTGTCCACTCATGGCATCATCTAGTCAGCTTTCTAGCAGCAGAAGAGCACTTGTAAAAGAGAGAGAAGGTGAGTGAAATTTTGACTTCCTGAGCGATACCTTAAATTCTGTAGCCTTCCTAGTTCTGTTGGGCTATGTCTAGACTGCAAGCCTCTTTCGAAAGAGAGCGTCTAGACTGCACGCGGAATTTCGAAAAAGCAAGCCGCTTTTTCGAAAGAAAGCACTCAGTGAGTCTGGATGCTCTCTTTCTAAAAAGCCTGTTTGCTTTCAAGAACGCCTTCTTTCGAAAGAGCACTTTCGAAAGAAGGCGTTCTTCCTCGTGGAATTAGGTTTACCACCATCGAAAGAAAAGCCGCATTCTTTCGATTTAATTTCGAAAGAACGCGGCTGCAGTCTAGACGCAGGTGAAGTTTTTTCGAAAAAAGGCTACTTTTTTCGAAAAAACCCCTGAGTCTGGACACAGCCTTGGTGGTAGTCCTCATGGTCATGGATTTGGGACTGGAAACATAGTAACTGACAAAATAAAACTTCTGTATCTAGAGTTACTTATATAAGTTGTTCTTGACTTTCCTCCTTATTTTCAGTTTTGGAAGGAATCCGAATGGTCTGATACCTGAATTTTCTGATTTATCAGGTGTTTAACCAACTTAATGCTAAATTATCAAATTAGCTCTTGTAACTAGTTTCTCACCCAAAAATCCAAATTCTTCAGCATTCAGCAAAGATGGAAGCTACTCTCAATGGCTCTTATGTGGATTAAACCCTAGAACCGTGGTGTCCACCACGCTAGCTACATGTGGCTATTTGGCAGGTTGAGTGTGGCCAGTTGGCTTGAACAGTGGATATTTGGCTGGGTAAGTGTGGCTATAGTGACTTCTGCTTCAGAACTGGTTGGGCACCATGGCCCTAGAATGAGTGAGGAGTAACATGCTTTTTCAAAGAAAGCTGAATGAAAGTGTCCAGCTGGCATTTTTGTTAAATGGATTAACTGTACCTACTAACTTTTGATATTTGTTTTAAGGATCAACGGATTCTGTTCATTCCACTGAATTTGTCAAAGAGAGTTTGAGTTCTAGTGCTAAAAAGCTTGGAGAGCCCATACGCCCAGCCATTCCTTTGCAACCACCATATCAGCCTCCTGAACCCAGGTCCTATTATTCCATGGGAAGAGGATACCAAAACTCAGCCAAACAGTCCCCAGATTTGTCTAACAGTCATGGGCTTGAAACTTCTGTTGTAAGTGAAAACCTCTTGGGTTTTATTAGTAAATATCTTCAGCTTTTCTGTATTTCATTTGTAGAATGGAATTAATGGAGCATCTGTCTGAACTGTATCTCTGATGAATGGATTATTAATATATTGACTCAAAATATTACTGATCAGAAGACTACTGAATTGGTAATTTAATATGCATTTTTGTTTCTCTTTGTAGATTATAGAGCCACTTACACAGGAGTCAGCTGCTTCTGATAGTGTTCCTCTGTCAAGGCTTGCTCCTGGTGAGAACAAGTTGTGCTTCACATTAAACTGTGTTCGAAAGCAGTTAAATACCGGTGCTTGTTATTTTCAATTAATCTGATTGGCATTACTGGAAACGTAGTTTTGAAAACCTTTAATCTGTATTTTGATGTTCAAACCTTACTAAAGTCACATGTCTTAACAGATGGGAGCAAATTATTTCTATCACTGTGTTTACAAGGAGAGTGAAAATAGGTCATAGTCAAAGGGGATTTGTGCTGAGAAGTGAGTCCATTGCTTAACTGTGTCTTTTTTCCAGTTAATCCAGCTAAGGTTTGTGTGTTTTACAGAAACTCATTGACAAAGGATACAGCTGAATTGGCACAGAATAAACTAGATGTGAATGTAGCCAAAGACAAACTGTTAACCATGCTTTCTGGAACTGATTAAACCCTCTTAGTATAGACAAGACAGAGAAAATAAGCACTACAAGTTAACTTCTGTGTTGCCTGGGAGACACTGGCTACTTTTCCAGTTTCCATAGCATCACTCTTGCAGATAACACTCCTGAAAATTCAAAGCCTACAGGAAATTCTCCTTAAATTAAAAAAAAAAATCAGTGCACATTGCCCGCCACACATCTAATTACTTCCTTCCCCTATTATTTCTACACTTCTTTTGACAAACTATCTGTAAGCTCTGGAAGCAAGGGGCTATATCTTTTGTATTCATTCTGTAAATCACTAAGCACACTTAGGTGATGTGTAGTGAATAATTAATCCAGTAAACATTGCTATTTCTGTTGCCAGTTTTTCCAGCTGGAGATAAGGCAGCGTCAAAAGTTGAGCTAAATGGCATGTATAGTGTGGATGAGGTAATTATGACTTCTACTACTTGTAAAACCAATATATGTATTGTGCGGGGTTGCTATAAATCTGTATACTTGGAGTTTCCACACAGTTATGCACTTAAACTTTTTGCTGTTTTTCTTTTCAGAACCTTGTGAATGTGACATGATATAATGTAATATTAACTAGCTGTATCTATAGCAGATTATAAATTTATACCAGTCATATATCAATGATATATTAACACTAACTGATTACGTAAACACTGGCATTTACATTGCTGACCAGTTCAGCAAAGGCATCTAGTTACTACATATCAGTTGGATTTATCTAAGGATGTTTAAGAATAATATTTTAACTTCCTCCTTTGCTCTTATAATATGATACTATTCTGTCCACACCCCAGAATCAGGGTGTCTCTAGCAAAATGGGATTTGCCTGAGTTTCAACAGAGGATTTGCCTGATTCTTAAGATCAGTCAGCCACCAGGCCAGACTACTTCCTCCTCCTTTTCCTCTCATTTTCCCTTTGGAAAAACTGGATAATTCAGCACCCACAAACTGGTTGGTAGATTTCATTTCACTGAAAGGGCCTGCAGGGAAGCAGGTTCTTCTAGGAAATTAGCTGAGCTGGAGCAGATTGCTTGCTTCATAAAACAGTTTCTGCGTCTCTAATTGATCACCAAAAATGGTAGAAGCCATTGTGGAGCTGATCTACAACTTGGCAACATGAGAAGATAAGCTTTGATGGGAGGTGAATAGGACTTTGAGACTACAGTGCAGTGTTCCTCAATCTTTTTTTATAAAGTACCCCTTTAAAAAATTATAAATACCCCCAGTACCTGCAGTTTTCAGACACACACAATTTTTTTCTACCGTTGCAACATATTTAAACAACTTAATTGTAGCCAGGCGGGCAATTAAATTTTTGGGTGTAAAAAGTACACAAATAATAAAACACTGTAAAACTTAAAACAAAAATTCAGTTTTCTCCAAATTTCAGTTGTGTTGACATTAAGGATGTTAAAGACTAGTCGACTATCCAATAAGCATTTGCTTATCGGATAGTCTTTTGTCTAGTTGACTAGTTGATAGACACTTCCGCATTCCTCTTTTGAAATGTACAGGATCCTATACAGTTCAAAGGAGGAATGCAGAACTCTGCAAACAGCCTGGGGCCAGCAGGAAGTCGTGTTGGCTGCATGCGGGTGCCTTCTTTGAAATGTACAAGAGTCCCCAGCGGGGGCTCTTGTGCATTTCAAAGCCATGGAGGCCTGCTAGGTATTTTGAACTGGAATATGCTTATGGGCTCTGCAGGGCTCCTTAATTGTGGCAGGAGAGGAGGTATAAAAGGTGGATGGTATTTTCCCAAATACTATCCACCTGGGATGTTTAAAAGATATCTCACTCACAGCGAACACTGCAGCTCTGAGATCCTCCCTCTCTTCAGTTAGGAAAGAACTACTGAATTATGTTGTAACTTAATTCAGCTGTTCAGTGATCATTTACCAGTTGCACAGATGAATGGGGAAGTTTGCAGCTCTCAGCTAATTTTAGAGATTGAGTAAAAATCTTTTCGTTAGATGCTTTATGTTCAGATTTGAGATTATTTGCAAACCTAAGAGATAAAAATCCTCATTCAAATTGGACTCATTAATCTGGTGCAACTACTATGCATAGACAAGCCCTAAATTTCTCTGTTTAAAACTGGTTCAGATTGCACCTGTACATTTAATGACACACACTAAACCCCATTGTAAACTAGGTTTAAACAGATGAAGTTTACCAAGATTGGTATAAATTACATTATTGGTTAAACCAGTGCAAAGTTGTAGGTGAAGCCTTACTTTTTTTAAATAGGAGATGATGTTCTTGATAACAAGATAGCAGTATGACATAATGGAATGTCTCCAAATCTGTATACCTACTGGCTGTGTCTACATTGGCCCCTATTCCGTAATAGGGATGCTAATGTAGCACTTGGGAATAGGCAAATCCGCGGGGGATTTAAATATCCCCTGCGGGATTTGCATTTTCATGGCTGCCGCTTTTTTCCCGCTTGTAGATAAGCCGGAGAAAAGCCGGAGAAAAGCGCCAGTCTGGACGCGATTCTCCGGAAAATAAGCTCTTTTCCGGAGGATCTCTTATTCCCACTTTCTCTTATTCCCACTTTCCGGATTTGCCTATTCCCAAGTGCTACATTAGAATCCTTATCACGGAATAGGAGCCAATGTACACGTAGCCACTCTGAGCCCTGGTTGAGTTGTGTTATGGTTTCAGTGGTCTAACTATAGTTAATTCTTGGACAGACTTCTGGGTTATCCAGGATTAAGTGAGTAACCTTTTGTAATGTGCTCTGGAATTAGCTGTCTCAGTAAATACATATTTCAGATGTCAAAAAATCACATCTCTAGCTCTTATTCCTTGTTGACACTTCACCAGATTATGTGGGAGCCTCAAGTGTCTCATAATGTCTGTTTTATTTGATTTAGCTGTCTTTTTTTATTTCATTTAACACTGATACCCAATACACTATCTGAGCAGGTGGCAGATAGTATAACTTTACTACTATCCAATCATATGATTTGACATGTATATCCATACAGACTTTTATATGGTCCTGTCTGTGCCAGAAATTTGCTGCATAGTCTGTGGAATCTTTGAGCCTTTCACTGAAAGTTCATAGTGAATTTTATCTTGTCCTCTTCCTTCTCTAACAGGTTGTTGATGTAGATGGCTCACATACATCAACTCCCTGCTTAAAAAAAGACCTCTCACAATGCACTGAGCAGATATCAGTAGCACGAATCACAAAACCTGAAACAAGTATTCCATCTAGTGGAAAAAGGTGAGTCAGTTTTTTATATGAATGAGCAGCTCAGACTTTCAGTGCTCACTTTCTTATACAGGACTTCCAATTCTTGGCTACAGCTCAGAATCCAGTCAAGAATAACAACCAAAGTTGTTAGGTGCTACTGGCAAAGTGAAATGTGCAGTAAGGAGAAGATCTAGAATATCTTTATACCCTTTACCAGTGGTCTAACTCGGGTGTTTTTTCATACAGAGAAACCCATTTCTGAGAACCAGATAAAAATAAAACATTTTGTTTTTCCTCTTAGGAAAGATCCCAAGACTAGCAGCTCCTGAGTTCACTGAAGTCTGCCTACTTGAAATCCATTGTCTTCATTTTGCTGTTCTCCCGATTTCGTGATCACTTTCATTCAAGCTGCCTTCCACTTTCAAATTCTCAACCAGTTCCTCCCTATTTGTTAAATCAAATTTAGAATAGCCTCCCCCGAGTAGCTTTCTTCACCTTCTTAAGACTGTTTCGAAGACTTGAGTAGGCCAGGGCATCTGATTCTTACAAACACTCTATAACCAGGGGAAATACTGCTATAGACGTGTAGGTGAATTATGTCTCAATACTTCTGGTTTCTATATAATTTCCTAATCCCATTTTTTAAAGTAGACTGAACTCTGCATCTGTTAAGCAATGGTTACCTTTGACCTTTATGATCATACTTGGCAATGAGTGATCGCCCATCATCATCACCACCTTTGACCATCAATTTTTGGGGACAAAAATGAAAATTGTGTAGTGTTTTTTTTTTTTTTTTTAATTTAAACAAAACCTTTTTTTTTCCCTCTTATCAGATATGAAAATTTTATCACAGATTCACTTGGAGAGGAACCCCTTTCAGGCAGAAGGACCAAGGATAAATTATCTGAGCAAGAGCTGCATGAAATGTCAGAAAAACTCTCTCGTAGGTTAAATGAACTAGATTTAGTAAGTAGAAATCTATTCTTGTTGATACCTTGGTATTTATCCAGCATTTGTAACAATTGTGTGAAGCCTAACTAATATCTAGGGAATTAGGCCAATCTTGGTAGGATTAACTTCTAAAGGGATTTTAAAAACACACAAACTGTATTTAATGTAAAGGAATGGATGCTGCTGCAGAAATAGTAAAAGAAAATGAGTTGTTTCATCTCAGATAAGAGATTGTGATGATGTAGTACGAAGTACATATTAAATCATTTTATAAAATAATGCTCCTTGGGACAGTAGAAATACTAGGATTTTACTAGTATTTTAGTAAATACTAATAGTTGGCTATTACACAATTGTTTTTTTAATTTAATGAGGAATTATGTGGAACCTTAAAGACTAACAGATTTATTTGGGTATAAACTTGTGTGTGTAAAAACCACTTTGTCAGATGCATGCTTATGCTCAAATATGTTTGTCTTTAAGGTGCCCCACGTCTCCTTGTTTTTTACAGATACAAACTAACACAGCTCTCCCTCTGAAATTTATTTTATATTGACATTTTTAGAACTTTTGTACCATTGTTTAATCTATAATGTTATCTTTTGCCTAGCTTGATACTTTTTCAACGTATGTTTTTATTAAATTCCCAGAGAAGTGCAGAATTAGTTGAATATATAGTGCAGAACTAGTTTAATAGAACTAAAAAAATCTACAATCAGTACTTCCAGTTTTGTTACACAGTTCTAGACTTGTGAGGATGAATTACTACAGGAGTTCTCAAATGTGCTTGAATGATGACCCCCTTCTGAAAATAAAAATTACTATGTGATCCCAGCACAGGGAACTGCAGCTTGAGCCCATCCAAGCCCTGAAGGGTGTGGGAATGGACAGCAGCAAAGCCAAAGCCCAAGAACTTCAGCTGCTCACAGGCCTGCAACCTGAGCTCTGCCAGCCAGGGATGAAACCTTCTGGCTTTGACCTTGGCCCCAGGAGGTGGTGCTCAGGCTTCAACCTCAGGGGCCCCAGCAAATTTAAGCCAGCACCAGTGACCCATTAAAAAGGGATCGTGATCCACTTTGGGGTCCTAGCTCACAGGCTGAGAACTGCTGAACTAATGAAACTGACCAGATTAATCTCTAATCAATAGATGTTAAAGAGAGCTTTGGGTGAGCAACACAGGGAAGAGATGTTGACAGATGAAGATAAACTCTCTCAGCACAGTGACAGTGTCATGGATTATCGGGGAAGGAAACCTCAGCCAGGTAACAAGCCAGAATGTGTTGGTTTTCTAAGTGCTGGGTGAAATACAACCTTGGAGCAAAGTTCAGAATGCTAATATAACACCAAACTGTGTTCTAAGATGACTCTGACATGTAAACTTGTACTGCAGACCCTAACTTTTAACAGTATAATAGTTGTTTACTTCCTCTTTCCTTGCCCCATTGTGATATTTTCCAGCACTTGTGATTTGTTGAATCAGAATACTAGAACTGGAAGGAACCCAAAAAGTCATCAAGTTAAATCCCAGGCATACGTAATTATGATACAAGTGAGGTAGTACTGGAGGCTTGGGCAGATTTTTATTTTTATTTTATTTAGTCCTTATTTCAAAATCCAACAGGGCAGACTTTAAAATAAGGATATTTATTTTTTTTAAATTACTTTATTTGCAGCATGCCCCCTGTGGAATGGTTGGGAACATTTGGCACAATTCTGGATTTAAGCCCGTTCATCCTTACAGTTTTTGTTGCTAATTTCTGATACTAGTTGGAATAGCATTTATGCCTTTATTTTGCAGCCACCCCACATCCAAAAAGATTTCTTAGCAGGCCACGATCCCTTTCTCCATCCCCACCCTCACCCCGGTATCTATTTCACTCTGAGTTTGAAGATGCTCTTCAGAGAGATTCAAGAGGCCAAATGGGGAAAATGCGCAAGCAATTGCAAAAGGAAATGGACCAGAGAAGAATAAAAGCAAAGGTAACTATTTCTGGATTGCATTCTATATGCCCCAACATCTTGGTTAGAGGGAGCATTTGGCTTAGTTTAGGAATTAATTTTACATTCACTGTACAGTTGTCTTAAGAGGCTGCTGTAGCAAAGATGCAGACATTAACTCAGCACCTACACAGCACTACCTCTTGCATTTAAAACAAGTTAAAAATCACGTAGAAAAGTTAGATGCCTGCAAGCCATCAGGGTCTGATGAAATGCATCCTAGAATACTCAAGAAGCTGATAAAGGAGGTATCTGAACCTCTAGCTATCATCTTTGGAAAATCATGGGAGACAGGAGAGATTCCAGAAGACTGGAAAAGGGCAAATATAGTGCCCATCTATAAAAAGGGAAATAAGAACAACCCAGGAAACTACAGACCAGTTAGTTTAACTTCTGTGCCAGGGAAGATAATGGAGCAAGTAATTAAGGAAATCATCTGCAAACACTTGGAAGGTGGTAAGGTGATAGGGAACAGCCAGCATGAATTTGTAAAGAACAAATCATGTCAAACCAATCTGATAGCTTTCTTTGATAGGATAATGAGTCTTGTGGATAAGGGAGAAGCGGTGGATGTAGTATACCTAGACTTCAGTAAGGCATTTGATACGGTCTCACATGATCTTCTTATCAATAAACTAGGCAAATACAACTTAGATGGGGCTACTATAAGGTGGGTGCATAACTGGCTGGATAACCGTACTCAGAGAGTAGTTATTAATGGTTCTCAATCCTGCTGGAAAGGTATAACAAGTGGGGTTCCACAGAGGTCTGTTTTGGGACTGACTCTCTTGAATATCTTCATCAATGATTTAGATATTGGCATTGAAAATATGCTTATTAAGTTTGTAGATGATACCAAGCTGGGAGGGGCGGTGACTGCTTTGGAGAATAGGGTCATTATTCAAAATGATCTGGACCAATTGGAGAAATGGTCTGAGGTAAACAGGATGAAGTTTAATAAAGACAAATGCAAAGTGCTCCACTTAGGAAGGAACAATCAGTTTCACACATACAGAATGGGAAGCGACGATCTGGGAAGGAGTACGGCAGAAAGGGATCTAGGGGTTATAGTGGATCACAAGCTAAATATGAGTCAACAGTGTGACACTTGCAAAAAAAGCAAACATGATTCTGGGATGCATTAACAGGTGTGTTGTGAGCAAGACACAAGATGTCATTCTTCTGCTCTACTCTGAGCTGGTTAGGCCTCAGTTGGAGTACTGTGTCCAGTTCTGGCCATCGCATTTCAAGTAAGATGTGGAGAAATTGGAGAGGGTCCAGAGAAGAGCAACAAGAATGATTAAAGGTCTAGAGAACATGATCTATGAAAGAAGGCTGAAAGAATTGGGTTTGTTTAATTTAGAAAAGAGAAGATTGAGGGGGAACATGATAGCAGTTTTCAGGTATCTAAAAGGGTGTCATGAGGAGTAGGGAGAAAACTTGATCATCTTGGCCTCTGAGGATAGAACAAGAAGCTTCCCTTCAGCAAGGGAGGTTTAGGTTGGATGTTAGGAAAAAGTTCCTAACTGTCAGGGTGGTTAAACACTGGAATAAATTGCCCAGGGAGGGTTGTGGAATCTCCATCTGTGGAGGTATTTAAGAGTAGGTTAGATAAATGTCCGTCAGGGACGGTCTAGACAGTACTTGGTCCTGCCGTGAGGGCAGGGGACTGGACTTGATGACCTCTCGAGGTCCCTTCCAGTCCTAGTATTCTATGATTCTATTTAATATCTACAACAGTTTGAGCTCTATATAGACTAGAGAAAACTGGGAAAAGGATCTTTGCTGTCCATTCACTGCTGAGACCACAGTTTTAAGATGTAAATCCTGGTTTATCAAAACAAGCTTGCTGAAATTGCTTGAGGCTTGATGTTCAGGTCAATACCTTGGGAAGTGTTATCAAACTTCTAAACTATCCTGGATGACTGAGCTATTGACAGTCCATGGTTTAAGATTCCTTTTAATGAAACTTTTAACCAGCAATGGACATGATTAACAAGTGAGTTATGACTCATTTTCCCTTCTGAGATAAACAAAAGCAGCCTAAAGATGGGGAAAACCTCTGTTGTAGCGTCCCTCATTAGGGTCTGAGTGACCATCTCTTCTTTTTCTCAGAGGTTCACAATTTATGCAGGGCACTTAGGGAATAATTGACACTATTCCGAAATAACAAAGAGCGCATCTACACAGCAAGCCATTATGTCGAAATAATGGTACGCTGGAGGACTTCTTACGCCGACTCCTGTAACCCTCATCTTATAAGGAGTAAGAGAAGTCTAAGGAAGAGTGTTCTTCCTTCCACTTCCTGCTGTGTAGACAGCGCCAAAAGCTGAAATAAGCTATTTCGACTTCAGGTATGCAGTTGACATAGCTGAAGTTGCATATCTTAATATGACTTTTGCCCTGCTGTGTAGTCATGTCTTCATAGCTCAGTATTTCTCACGTCTTTCTCCCAGGCTTCTTTTGCAGATTATCCCTTAAGCCCAGTCTACTTAGAAAAATCAGTTCTAGGGATGTTAAATTCAGATTAATCAGCTAATTGCATTGACTGTTCGATTAGTCGATAAGGGCACCTCCTCCTTTGAAATCTTGCTACACTTCAAAGGTGAAAGTGCTGCAGGGAGCACGGGGCCAGCAGGGGACTCAAGCAGTCCCCCATTGTCCCTGCGATTCCCGTATCATTGCAAAGCAGCAGCCCCGCATGGAGTCCAGGGTCAGCTGGGGACTCTTGAGGCCAAGGTCTGGCCCTGGGCTCTATGTGGTGCTGCCGCTTTGAAGCAGCCCCTCCACTTCACCCCCTCCTCCTATGCCTCTTTCTGATAGAGGCAGCAATGGGGGGGGGGGAATGATTAGTTGACTAGTCATTCACATCCCTAATCAGTTCTCATGTCCTTGTCTAGTGTCCTTGTCAGAGATGCTCCCAGGACATCCTGCCATCGCTGTGACATTCCTTACAATCAGGAAAACAGGCCTTTTTTTATATCTAGCATGTTTTGTTAGCAACCTATAGCTCTCATGATTGCTGAACTAAAAGTCCCAAAATTCCTCATCTTTGGCACAGGCCAAGTCACATGACTTACAACATTGAACCTCTCAAAGGCCCGAGCTTGTCCTGTAATAGAGTAGCTTCAGGATCCTCATTTTAATGAGCGTCAAAATTAATATCCTCAAATGAGCATCCCAAAATACTGATTACTCTAATGTAGAATAGTACAGAGGCACAGCTGGAGAAGAGCTTAATCCTTTCATGTTCAATAACTGTTTTTGTAATGTAGATAAAACATCTTGTTCTAAATTGTATTTCGAGATCTAAGTTGTATGGAACAATTAACACTAAAGAACATGAATATTTACAACAGAAGCAACTTTTATTTTGCAAGCCTCCTTTTTCACCATTGATGCTTTTGCATGACCATGAGCTGTAGTTAATATAGTTCAGACCTTGAGCTCTAATGCAGATGGCTGTGCATAGGACATATGTTATAAGATTTAATATGGAGCTGCAGCCCCTGGGTGGGACAGAGTGTTTAGACTATAATCCTGCAGTCTCCTGACTAGGGCTGCAAAACATTCAGACGTCCTGGGGAATAAGCCAGCTGGTCAGGGTATAGCATTGAGCAGGCAGCAACCCATAGGTGTGGCAAAGGAAGCAGTTAGGCTGTAGCTCTGCAGCCTCCTGGCTGGGGCAGCAAAACAAGGAAACATTCAATTAGTCCCTTGGCCAGGGCAAAGCAGCAAGCAGTCTGCAGCCCCTAGGTGGACGAGGTAAACCACAGTCTGTCTTCAGGCCTCACCTCTCTCTGGGTGAGGGGATAGTTCAGGCAGCTTCCTCAGCAGGTGGCTGTTTGGTTTCCCCAGCAATCTCTTTGGCTCTCAGGTAGGCAGGCAAGGTCCCCAGGCTTTGCCACCAGGGGTGCTACAGGGATCTCTGCAGGAGTCCGAAGTGTACTCCCTTCCACCTCCAGGGTTGGGCTGCCTCCCTTTATCTGAGTTCTCCACTCAGAGCATGCACAGCAGGGAACAGGGAGCCTGGCCTCCTGGGCCCACAATTGATCCATCTACTCATTAGTCAGCTATTGAGACATTGAGCAGTTTCAATGTACTAGAGAATTTCACGAAGTCTTTAGCTCATCATTTTGGGGCATAACCTCTGCTGGGGTTATGGGAATCTTTTAGTTTATTTCAGGGTTATGGTTGAAGGGCTTTTTTGTAGAGAAAGGTTCACAACATTTCTTAAAGCCTGTTTGATTTTAGAGTGGGGGTGGGCAATAATTTTTGATGAGGGGAGGCCACTCTAAGAATTTGGAAAGTGGTCAAGGGCCTCACTCTTCCATATTAATGGAGGAGGTGTGGGGTCTGAACTGGAGGTTGGGTGCAGAAGGGAGCTTGCAGCAAGCGATTGGGGTGCAGGTGGGGTGTGGTGTCTGGGAGGGAGTCTGGGTGAAGGATGCAGTTGTGACCTGGGTTAGGGACCTAGGGTGCAGGGGTTTGGATTGTGACACCTTGGGCAAGAGGAGGTTGTGACTTGAGGAAGGGAACTAGGATGCAGGAGGGAGGTGGAAGGGTTTGGGCTATGACCTAGGGCAGGAGGGGGTTGTGACTTGGGGCAGGGGAATGGGGTGCAGAGGTTTGGGTTGTGACCTGGGGTAGGGGTTTGGGGTGTGACCCGAGGGAGGGGATTGAGGTATAGGATCTGGGAGGTGATATTGGTGCACGAGGGGGGCAGAGGGTTTGGGTTGTGACCTAGGACAGGAGGGGCCTTTTACCTGGGGCAAGGGATTGGGGTACAGGATCTAGGAGGGGATATTGGTGCAGGAGAGGGGAAGAGGGTTTGGGTTATATGGGGTAGGGGGACAAAAGGTTGGGGTGCCAGAGTCAGGCCCTGGCTGGGAGACTTAACTGCTTGACTCCAGTCAGCAGCCTTCCCAAGTACACTCCCTGCCTCCCCTACCCCCACACTCAGGAGAGGGTGCTTAGCAAGCTGTCTGACAACAAACAGCTCCTATTGGTGGAAACTGGCCAGTGGGATTGTGCTGGGGATGGAAGCAGCCCCCAAACTGTTTCCTCCCTCCCCAGGGGCTCACAGCTTCTTAAAACAGCTCTTCAGTGGCTACATTTCTCAGCAGTGTGCCAGGGAGGCAGGCAGGTAGTCCACAGGCCAGATCTGGCAGCTTGGCAGGCGCCCACGGAGGGTATTTTGCCCAGGCCTGTTCTGGAGTAGTGTTTCTCAACCTTTTTTTTATAAAGTACCTCTTTTAAAAAAAAAAAAAAAAGTACCCCCTTTTTAAAAAATAAGTACCACCAGTATCTACAATTTTCAAACATACAATTTTTTTTTCTACCATTGCAACACATTTGTTTAAACAACTTAATCGTAGCCAGGCAGGCGATGAAATTATTGGGTGTAAAAAGTACACAAATAATAAAGCACTGTAAAACTTACAACAAAAATGCAGTTTTCTCCAAATTTCAGTTGTTTTGACGTATCCCCCAGATGTATCTTGAGTACCCCTAAAGGTGCTTGTACTACTGGTTGAGAAACACTGTTCTAGAGTCACCTGATCTCCTAGAAGTTTGTGGAGAATGCATTGTCCATAGCTCTTATGTACTTTTATCCTTAGCTTTGTGACCTGCTTTGTCACATAGGAACACAACTATCTTGACGATTTTTAGATCAAAAATCCAGTATTTAATTTAGCTGGGGCTTGATCTATTAATTATTTTGAAGAATAGGACTGAGGCCTTATGTGAGCATCTGAAATTGCCCAAGAACAGGTAGAGGAGCTTGAGCACCAGTCTGTTCTCCCAATGAACCTAGTTCATGGATAACAAGAGCAGCTTATTCATTTATTGTAAACAGCTTGTGCATCTTCACATTCATCTTGAGTGAATTACAATAATTCACCCTGGAAAATACTGCGTAAACCATTGCAGCCAGGTGCTTGTCCCGGAGGAAAGGGTTAAGTTTCCTAGTAAGCCAGAGGTGAAAAGTCATTTTGACATCAGCACTAATTAGTTCCATTTATGTGACTTCATTTGGACTGATAATCCCCTTTGCAGAGAGTAGAAATTCAGACTGAGTGTCTTTTATCTTTTGTTTCCTAGTTGCTGACTAAAGCCTATGAAGATGAATTAAGAATTTTTGAAGCTAGAGAGAAACTGGGGCTTTCCAACCTAAAAGCAAAAGCCAGAGAAGTGGTAGGTGAAGCGTACAAGAATAAACTGGAGAGTGCATGTTTGAAAAAATCTGAGTTACTCTGTCCATGCTTGCTATGTGGGGTACATAGATGATGCTTTTAAATGACACTACCCGATGCTGACCCTGACTTAATTATTAGTGTAATAGATGTTGTGAACCACTTTGATCAGCTTACACTACATTTAGGCTATGGTTGATAGTACGGATGTTAAAATGTGTTTAACCATGTAACCACTAAAGTCAGATCCTGCCTGCCCCCCTATGCTGCTGCCTCTGATACAGAGGCAGCTGTGGTGGGGAGAAGGGTAGGTGGCTCCCTGGAAGTTGGTGCATGCTAAGGATGTTAAGAGGTGGGTAATCTACACAATTATTTGATAAGGGAAG